GTTGAGGCTGCGGTGGCTGGGAGCGGCCACTGCACTCCAGTCTGGGTGACAGAGTGAGACTCCAACTCAAAAAAAAAAAAAATTTATTTGTCCATGTATGAATTAATAAGCTTGATGAGCTAAATAGCTCATCTTGTGAAGAATACAAAGAAACAAACTTATACTTCTAATTCTACTATTAAAAAAAGAGAAAATTCTAGCCGGGCTCGGTGGCTCAGCCTGTAATCCCGCGCCTTTGGGAGGCTGAGGTGAGTGAATTGCCTGAGCCCACGGGTTCGAGACCTGCCTGGGCAGTGAGACCTCATCTCTACAATAAATCAAAAAATCAGCTGGGTGTGGTGGCGCATGCCTGTAATTCCGGCTACTCGGAAGGCTGAGGCGGAAGGATCGCTGGAGCCCAGCAGGCCGAGGCTGCGGTGGCCGGGAGCGGCCACTGCACTCCAGTCTGGACGACAGAGTGAGACTCCGACTCAAAAAAAAAGAGAAAATTCTGAAATAACCATCCCAATTTGCACAAATAATTTTATTTAGAGCAATTCCATGAATACCTGCCATATTTTATTTATTTTCTTAACATGAATTTTATTCTTACCTCCAGAACGGGGTTTCAATATTAAATCCATGACTTCTGTCCAGGAATTTTGTAGTATAGCTCTAAAATTAAATAATATTTATTTAATTTAATTTTGCATTAAGATAAACCTTATGGACCCATCTTCAAAGAATCAGCAAATCATATTAACTGTATATTGTTTTACTAAACTTAAAAATAAGCAGAAAAACTGACATAAATTTCAAATGCAAACACCAAAATAACTTTAAAAAAAGAATACAATTAAAAACATAATGCTTATCCATAACATTTAATATCATTCCAGTTGTTTTTTTTTGTCAGAGTCTCACTCTGTCACCCATGCTGAAGTGCAGTTGCACACTCACAGCCACCGCAGCCTCCACCTGCTGGGCTTCAGCGATCCTTCCGCCTCAGCCTTCCAAGGAGCTAGAACTACAGGCGCGTACTACCACGCCCAGCTAGTTTTTGATTTATTGTAGAGACAAGGTCTCGCCAGGTTGCCTGGGCTGGTCTCGAACCTGCGGGCTCAGGCAATACACTTGCGTCGACCTCCAAAGTACTGGGATTACAGGCTGAGCCACTGAGCCTGGCGCATTTCAGTTTTAAAATGCTTTAATAGTGTAAATGCTATCTAGTCATGCTTTAATACGTTATATATGATATTATTTATATAAATCAGAGTTCAGTTTTTTGGTTTTTTTTTTTGAGTTGGAGTCTCACTCTGTCGCCCAGACTGGAGTGCAGTGGCCGCTCGCGGCCACCGCAGCCTCGCCTGCTGGGCTCCGGCGATCCTTCCGCCTCAGCCTTTCGAGTAGCTGGAATGACAGGCGTGTGCTACCACGCCCGGCTGATTTTTTGATTTATTGTAGAGATGAGGTTTCACTGCCCAGGCAGGGCTCGAACCCGCAGACTCAGGCAATCCACTCACCTCGGCCTCCCAAAGGCGCGGGATTACAGGTTGAGCCACTGAGCCCGGCTAGATTTGTTTTTATATGCCAAAACTTGTTTGAAATCTCTCAAAAAATTTCTCCCTCTATGATAAATATCTTCTTGCTTAGGCAAACAGAATAAAAACAATTTATCTTCCTTTAATTCCAGCACTTTGGGAATCCAAGGTGCCCTGGCTGAGGTGCAATGGCATGTTCATAGCTCACTGCAGCCTTGACTTCCTGGGTTCAGGTGATCTACCTCAATCTCCTGAGTAGTCGGGACTGCAGGTGTGTGCCACCATGCCCCAGCTTTTGGACTTTTTTTTGTAGACATGAGGTCTTGCTATATTGCCTAGGCTGGTCTCGAAATCTGGTGCTCAAGCAATTCTCCCATCTCAGCTTCCTTTAGTGCTGGAATTACAGGGTGAGTCACCGCGCCTGGCCCATTTTAGTCATTTTTATGTATACTGTTTACTGTGCAACCATCACTGCCATCCACCTCCAGAACTTTTGAATCTTTCCCAACTAAAACTCTGTAGCCATTAAACAATAGTTCCCCATCCACCCCTCCCCTAACCCTTGGCAATCACCATTCTACTTTCTGTCTGTGACTGACTACACTAGAACCTTCATATAAGAGAGAGTATACAATATTTGTCCTTTTGTGACTGGTTTATGTCTTCAAGTCTTATCCATGTTATAGCATATGTCAAAGTGTCCCTCCTTTTAAAAGCTGACTTACATTCTTTTTGTGTGTGTGTGTGTGTGTGTTGGAGTCTCACTCTATCACCCATGCTGGAATGCAGTGGCATGCTCCTGGGCAACGCAGCCTTGATCTGCTGGCTCAGGCGATCCTGCCGCCTCAGACTTCCAAGTAGCTGGATTCACGGACATGCGCCACCACACCCAACTAATTTTTTGATTTATTGTAGCGATAACGTCTTGCCATGCTGCCCAGGCTGGTCTCGAACC